CTGCCTGAGACCCCCCGGTCATGCTGGGGGGACCTCGGTGCCCGGCCTCTACTTGGTGTGCGGGTCCAGGTGACGGTGGTGGTCGCGGGGCCGCGTGCCGTGCCGGGGCCGGCAGAGGCAGGAGGGCACCCCGCTGCCCTTCCTCAGCGCGTGGGCCCGCCAGGCTGCCGCGATGCTCTCCACCTATGGGGACGGTGACAGGGATGGAGGGGGCATCAACATGGCCATAGTGTGGTTCTCCTCCCCCCCAACCCCAGCCCTGCAGCACCCTCCAGCCCCGAAGCTGAGCTGGGGCACCCCTAAGCTGAGCTGGAGCACCCCGAGGGGAGGCAGCAGCTCACCGGGATGAGCAGGTCCCGCTGGTTGTGGCTCTCCAGTGTTGCCAGCTCGTTGGGTGCCAGCAAGGGCAGGCGCAGCTCCCGCACAGGCAGAGCAGCCACCTCGGGCACTGGGCGCTCCAGGACGGGCTGCGGGATGGGAGGGATGGGGACGGTGACACCCCAGGCACTGAGAAGACAACCTCTGTGCCCACCACACAGCACCGGGCTCAGGGACAGGGTGACTGGGATCCCTGCCTGGGCTGGTGGGGTGTCCGGGCACCCCTGAGTGGCTCTGCCTGGGGGACTGGCCAAGACCACCTCCCCTGGTCACCTCCATGTTGCACTCACCGAGCTGACGTGCGCCCACTCCCGCACAGCCTGCACCAGGTCCAACTCATCCACAGCCAGGCGGTCGCTGCGCAGCACCCACGCCAGCACCACGTCGGAGAGCTCGTGGAAGCCCTGCGTCCGCACCACTGCCTGCCAGCACACCGCACCACCGGGGTACTGGTACCAGGACCCCACCCCGCTCTCCGTGGGCCATCGGACCCATCCTGGTGCCATCCCTGCCTTGCACCCCACCACACCCCCACCTGGACCCCCCCTGCCCCAACACCCCAGTACCACCCAACCTCTACCTGGCACCCAGCATCTTCTCCCCAAACATCATTCGCTCCCTTTCCTCCTCTCCCCAGCCTCCAGCCATCCCATTTTTAGGGGCGCTGCTCCCACGCCCCATGCTGTGTCCCCCAGTGTGCCCCATGCCACGTGGCCCCGGTGCTCCCCGTGCCCTGGGGTACTCCATGCCATACTCCCCCACCGCCCGCAGCCGTACCGCAGTGCAGCCCTCGATGAAGGCCAGGCAGTGCTGCTGGAGGTCTGCCTGCCCATAGGTCACCGCAGCCTGTGGGACAACACAGACACCTGCGAGAGGGTCCAGGGCAGGAGGGATCGCCTGACAAAGCCCTACAGAGACACAGCCACTCTCAGGGACCCAGGTGAGGTGAGCATCTCCATGCGTGGGTGCCACAGTGTGGGTATGGTGAGGAAGGGGCACCGAGGTCCTCTCCTTTCCTGGCCTGCCCCACAGCAAAGAGTTTGGTGGCTCTACCACCCACA